ACTTAACTATTCTAGTCAATAGCTAGACTATTCTAGAACCAGTTGCTCTGAAGTACCTTCCATGATCCTGGCACAAATTTCAGCTCCTACTCCGAACTGTGGCCAGCCTCCTTCCACAGTTATGAGATGATTGGTCTTCATGACACTGGCTTCTATTGTTTCAATGTCCATTGGTCTGATGGTTCGCATATTTATCACCTAAACAAATATAACAGACATGCCTTACAGAGCCACTGAACCACAGACGCAGTCTCACCCCCATAATAGCACTCCCTGCCTGGTTTCCTGTTAATGTCGGTGGCATCTAGGGAAATCTAATTTGCCTATTCAAGAGCAAAATGGTAAAAAGAAATTGTAATTAAAACACAAGTCTTTCTCTCTACCACAAGTAGCTCTGTTAACGTAAGAATTTACTTACCCTCAGAGCACCCGGGTAGCTCAGTCCATTAAGCCTCCGACTCTTGATTTCAGTTCATGGCAAGATCTGGCGGTTTGTGAGTTTGAACCCCGCAACAGGCCACCGCTAACCAGGCAGACCCTGTTTGGGATTCTCTCTTTTTCTCCCTCTCTGCCCCTAGCCCCGTGCTCTCTCTCTCTCACAAAATAAACAAACTTTAAAAAAAAGAAAAGAATTATTCTCCTGGGCTTTAACTTCCTTCTCATCAAAACAACTAATAACTAACAATGGACTGCTCACCCATGTGCCAGGCACCACACCGTGATTCCCACAACCTCCCTGATGGGGCAGTAAATGTGTTCTCAGTTTACCACTGACGGGACTGAGATTCAGGGTATGTATCTTGCTCAAGTAGAACTAGCAAGTGGTAGGTCCTGTATATGAACAGGTGAGACACTGATTTCTAAGTTTCCCCTTCTCCCAACCTCCAGCTCCAATGCTGGCTCCCAAAAGAGAGCGCTTCGGAGAAAGCTCTCCTGAAAGCTTGAGAAAGCAGGTACTATTCTAAAAGATCCAACCTACGTGGTAAAAAGCTAGGTATCTGAAAAACAAGCGGGTTCCCAGCTTCAAGCAGAGGCAGAACTGAGTGACAAATCAAGATTTTTACACTTGGGGAGTTGGAGTTCTGTAGCAGGTTAACGAGTTCTGGGTCTTAAAAGGAAACTTTCCAATTCTTTAAGAATAGATGAAATGTCCACATACCTCACATTCAATTCCCTCTTTGGATAGCACCGTTGCAGCTTCTAAGCAGTGGCCCACGGGTCTTGAATGGGAAACTAAGGTTATGTGTGTCCCTGAAACAGAGCGGTCACAGATCAGAGGCCGATTGGCACTAAAGCTGCCGTACTGCTCCATGGCCACTGTGGCTCCTGTTCGCTTGTCAGATATTCAGCTCCACTCCATTCCAGTGGGATGAGGAAGGTGGCGGTCCCTAGGGATGACATACAAATCTACTGGGCTGAGATTTAGGAACGCACAAGTGTATGAGCAACTCATGACACATTCTTAACTTGAAGTCATCCTGTAATTTCCTAATCAAAGTAAAGGGCAGTAACTTCAAGACTGAATCTGGATTACAAATAATGTTTAAAGGTACCAAGTTCTCTTACCTTGCCTTTCTATTTTGGCTTTTCCAATGGGAATCAGAAAATCTTTTGACTGAGCTTCTGAGGAAAATTCAAAAGGAACCCCATACATCAGCTCATTCTCTAGCACCACCACTGCAAAATATAAAAAAAAAAATTTTTTTTTTTTTTTTTGAGAGAAAGCACAAGAAGGGATAGAGAAAATGGAACAGAGAATCTTGTTTTTTAAGTTTATTTTGAGAGAGAGAGAGCACTTGTGTATAGGGGAGGGGCAGAGAGAGAGGGAGAGAGAGAATCCCAAGCAGGCTCCATGCTTTCAGTGCAAAGCCCAATGCAGGGCTCAATCCCTCAAACCATGAGATCATGACCTGAGGCAAAATCAAGAGTTGGACACTCAACCACTCAAATGAATGAGCCACCAAGTACCACGCAAAATATAAATATTTAACAAAAGTAACTACATGACTAAACGTATATTCCACACTAACAGTCATTATGTGAAAAGTTTCACTGTGCTGATTAGGAGGCCTCATATCTATCATGTCCAGTAGCCTCGAATGGATGGTTTAGATACCGGCCTTTATAGTCTGGTCAATCCTAATTTTATCTGTTGCAGTTAAACCAGTGTTGTAGGTACCTAACTGGCTCCTTTATAATAGGAAAACAAAAATAAAACAACTTTTAAAAACTGTGTTTATTGTCTCTGTAAATCATTAACATTTTATATGATCTTAACAGTTCCTTCCAGGCAAAGATTTCAATTTAGTTCTTTAATGTTCAAAAGAGACCCAAGGGTCACTCTACTAACCTGGATTGTTATCCCGAATGGCTGATTTAATAAGTCCTTTGGCATCCTCTGAATTCCAGGGGCTGACCACTTTTAAGCCTGGGCAGTGCCCATACCAGGCAGCAAAGCACTGTGAGTGTTGGGCAGCCACGCCTGCTGAGGCACCATTGGGCCCCCTGAAGACTATGGGCACAGACTGAAGGCCCCCTGACATGTAGTAGGTCTTGGCAGCTGAGTTTATAACCTGGTCAATGGCTTGCATAGAGAAATTGAAGGTCATAAATTCACAAATGGGCCTCAACCCAGCCTGTCAAATCAAGAACAAAGATCTTAAAAAAATGAGAAACAGCAATAAAGAGTGGCAATCACTCCAAAATTCAAACAATGTTTATAAAAGGTCCTGTTAAATTTCTTTGGATGAGATTCATAAAGAGGATTACATACCATGGCTGCACCCACGGCAATTCCAGCAAAGCCCATCTATAAGTAAAACACAAACACAAGCGAAAACCCGTAAAAATTATAACAGTGGACACCACAACAGACACACCACTGAAAGGTCTGCTTCCTAATGGAAGCCTTACCTCAGATATGGGAGTGTCGATGATCCTCTTATCTCCATATTTCTTCCACAGGCCTCGACTAACCTAAAATTACACATTGATTTCATTACTTTTTAAGTGTATCTGGGAGCAAAAGGCTACCTTTTTGTATCGATTTCAGGTATCCTGTTTACCTTATATGCCCCATCATACTGGGCAACTTCTTCCCCAAGCAGAAATACCTTCTCATCTCTTTCCAGCTCCTCATCCATACCTTGGTTTATAGCTTCACGAACTGTCACCTGTCACAGGTATGGGAGAAATAGTCAATAAACTATAGGATTATTTCGGATACGATTGAGATTCTTTCCTTTTATAATTATATAGGTTGTGTACAGCAGAGAATATGGAAACTATCACTAACAGGCTTCTCTTTAAAACTTAAAAAAATTACTGGGGTGTCTGGGTAGCTCAGTTGGGTTAGGCATCAGACTTCAGCTCAGGTCATGATCTCGAGGTCTGTGAATTCAAGCACTGCATCAGGCTTTGTGCTGACAGCTCAGAGCCTGGAGTCTGCTTTGGAATCTGTGTTTCATTCTCTCTCTGCCCCTCCCCCACTCGTGCTCTGTCTCTTGTCTCTCTCTCTCTCTCTCTCTCTGAAAAATGAATAAACATTAAAAAAATTTTTTTTAAATAAAAGAATTTCAAAAAGTTCTAAAAATCTGTTTGCTGGCCAGACCAGCTCATAGGTAGTTTCCTAAGTAGAAAATATACTGGGTTATTTTATTGTTCACACTTGGTGTAGCGTGGAGCAGAGAATTGTTAAGGAAGCCTAGATAAAACTATGTTTTCAGCACTCACTAGGTGCCAGGCACTTCCAAACACTACCTTCAAAGTCTACAAGTTATTTTAATTGACAGATTGGTAGAATCCTTTAGTAAAAAAAGGGGGTGGGGAATCCTTCAAAGAGGAATGATCCAATAATTCCACTTTTAGATATATACTCAAAAGAAAAACAAAAGCAGGGACTCAGATACTTGCACACCAAAGTTCTTAGCAGTGTTATTCACAAATCTAAAAGGTGAAAACACCCACATATCCATCAACTGATGACTGGATAAACAAGATGTGGTATATGCATAAGATGGAATATTATTCAGCCTTAAAAAAGAAATGAAATTCTGACATGTGCTACAACTTGGATGAACCTTGAAAATACCATGCTAAGTGAAATAAACCAGACATAAAAGGACAACCATTGTATGATTCTCCTGATAGGAGGTACCTAAAATAGACAAATTCACAAAACACAAAAAGTGCAACAGAGGTTACCAGGAGCTAGGGGGAGATGGGAAATTAGTGTTTAAGAGGTACAGAGTTTGTGACGATGATAAAGTTCTAAACGTGGATGGTAGTGATGGTCTCACAACATAGTAAATGAATTTTGTGCTGCTGAATATACACTTTATAAAATGGTACCTTTGGTTATGTATATTTTATTACAATAAAACATTTAAAAGGGGAGGGGGTGAAGGAAGAAGCGTCTAGTTTACTCAGATCGCCCACAGATTCCAATGAGCCTGGAGGGGGTGACACGCTGGTGTGTTTGGCGATGGGTCACAACACAGGCACCACGAGTCCCACGCCGGACGTGTGAATCCACAGACCACGGTGCCCGCTGCCGCCCCCGCTCTCTGCACAGCGTAGGCGGGTCCCCGGTCTCCGTCCCGAGATTGAGGGGTCCCCTCCTCCCCCAGCTAGCGTCCAGGCGACTTACTTGCAGCGCCGCCGGCACCGTTCGGTGGAAGCGCCTCCTCAGCAGCCCGGAGACCTGGAGGGGAGAGAGCACACGCTGAGAGGGGGCGCAAGGTGGGCAGGAATCGCGCGGAGGCACGCGTGCCGCAGCCTACCTGTTCAAGGGGTCTCCGCACCAGCCCAGACACCGCCGCCATCTTGACCGTGTCCTCTAGCCGCCGCCAAATGACAACACAGCGGGGCCGCAGTCGTGCCAGGTCCCGCCTCCCCCGCCAGCTCTAGCCAATGGCAGGGAGCCGCGCCTGCGTGCCCCGCCCATCCCCTCTCGGGTGAGGGGCCGAAGGGCGGGGCCGAAGTGGCGCGTGGGGTGGTTCTACCGCTTTTTCTGGGGCCCGTCTCCAATCGACTTCGTCCGGAGCCGCGGCTGCGGACACGCAGGCTGCACGTCGGGAGCACGTCCCTAAGCGGTACTGCTTGAAGCACTCAGACTCTGAGGAACATAATTGAAGGCTGGAGGGACCTTAAAAGTTAGGTCAGTCTTTTTCAGGTACTGAAATCCTTAGGGCATCAAGTGGCGCTTGCGCACACCCTAGTGTCAGGGAACTTTGCACCTTGTGAACGAGCCGTCTTCCCTGGACGGCGCTGTCAGTCTCCTCCCTTAGAATGGGAACCAGAGCTTTCATAGACGCATTAAGCGGCCTACTGTGTGTCAGTCATTGTGGTAAGAATTGTACTGCTCACTTAATTTTCACAGGAACCTTCTCAGGTAATTAGTTACCATCTCCATTTGTCCTCAAAAGTCACTTTGGGTTGTCGTTATAAAGGCCTTTATTGAAGACTTTCAATGCCTGTGGGCTTGACCAACTTTTTTTCTTTCTTCTTTTTTTTTTTTTTGTCATTTCAAGCGAGATATATTAAAGAGGGCTTTTCGCCCCCTCCCACCTTTGTAGGTGTAACTTAAACAGTAAAATGCACATTTCCACCACTTCAGAAAGTTCCCTCGTGTTTCCTCCCAGTGATTCCCCATACGTCATTCCATAGGCAACCACAGATTCAATTTCCATCGTGGTAGCTTAATTTGCCCTTTTTAGAATTTGAAAGAAAGGGAACCATACAAACTGTACTGTTGTGTCTGACTTCTTTAGCTCAGAAAATGTTTTTGAGGGTTATGTTAAGTGCATCAATAGTTTACTCTTTGTTTTGTTTCAGTAATCTTTACACCCAACAGTGGGGCTCAATTTCATAACCCCAAAATCAAGAGTCACATATGCTCCTGACTGAGGCAGGTAAGTGCCCCTCCTCTATTCTTTCTCGTAGTTTTTTTTTTTTTTTTTTTTTTTGAAAGACTTTGTCTCACAAGAAAGAGTTTCCATGTCCCCTTCACCTATCTTTGCCTAATATCTTGTATAATCATAGTACTTTGTCAGATTCCCCAAACTGACATTGGTATGATGCTGTTAACTCAGGTAGAGATTTTATTCAGCTTTCATCAGTTTTTATGTGCATTCTTAGGGGGAGAGTAATAATCCTATAGAACTGCCTCACCTGTACAGATTCATGTAACTACCACCAGGATCATAATACAGAATTATTCCATCACCACAAAGCAACTCCTATATGTTACCTCATAGTCACACCCTCTCCCACCCCTGACTCCTGGCAACCACTGATCTGTTCTCAGTCACTATAATTTGTTATTTCAAGAGTGTTTTATACATGAAATCGTACCATATGTAACTCTCGGAGTTACTATTGTCACTCGGCCTAATGCTCTTGACATCCATTCAAATTGTTGCATGTATCAACATTTCATACCCTTTTATTGCCCAGTAGTTGTATGTTTATTCATTTACCCCTTGAAGGACCTTTGGGTTGTATCCATTTTCAGCTGTTACTAATAAAGCTGTGATGAACATTGGCTCATAGGTTTTTCTGTAAACATGAGTTTTCATTTCTTCAGGTAAATACTGAGCAGTATTTCAAAATATTTTTCCAGAGTGGCTATACCATTTTATGTTACTTCCAGCAATGTATAAGACATCCATTTGCTCTGGATCCTTGCCAGTGTGTGATATGATGCATATTTTCTATTTTAGCCATTCTCCTAGATGTGAAGTAGTGTCCCTCATGATTTAAATTTGCATTTCTTTAATGGTTAATGATTATTGAACATCTTTTCATATGCTTACTCTCACCGTCCATCCTTGGTGAAATGTCTGTTCAAGTCTTTTGCTCACATTCTAATTAGATTGTTTTCTATTGTGGTAAAATATGCATCACACAAAATTTACCATTTTAAGCATTGTTGTTCAGTTGCCACCACCATCAATCTCCAAAACTTTTTCATTTTCCCAAAAGGAAACTCTGTATTCATTAAACAGCAACTTTCCATTCCCCTCTTCCCCTAGCTCCTGGCAGCTACCATTCTATCTCTATAAATTGGACTACTCTACCTCATATAAGTGAAATCATACAGTGTGTGTGTGTGTGTGTGTGATTTCGATTAGCATAATGTCTTCAAGGCTCATCCGTTCTGTAGCTTGTATCAGAATTTCATTCCGTTCTAAGGCTAAGTAATATTCCATTATATGCATAAACCACATTTTGTTTATCCATTCTTGTGATGGACATTTGGGTTGTTTTCAACCTTTAGATTTGTGAATGATGCCACTATGAACATTAGTGTACAAATACCTATTTGAGTCCCTGATTTCAATCCTTTGGGGTATATACCTAGAAGTGGTGTTACTGGATTATATGTTAATTCTATGATTAATTTTTTGAGGAATGGCCATTCTGTTTTCCATAGTAGATACACTAGTTTGCATTCGCACCAGCAATCCAGAGGGGTTCGAGTTTCTCCATGTTCTCAGCAACATTTATTATTTTCTGCTTTATTGCTAAATAGGCATCCTCATATGTGTGAAGTGGTATCTCATGATTTTTGTTTGCATTTCCCTAATAGCGATATTGGTTGTGTTTTTATGTGCTTATTGCCCATTTATGTCTTTCTTGGAGAAATGGCTATTCAAGTCTTGCCTATTTCTCAACTGAATTGTTTTGTTGTTGTTGTTGAGTTATAGGAGTTCCTTTTTTATAATTTATTTATTTTTTATAATTTACATCCAAGTTAGTTAGCACATGGTACAACAATGATTTCAGAAGTAGATTCATTAATCCCCTTACCCATTTAGCCCATCCCCCCCACAACCCTTCCAGTAACCCTCCATTTGTTCTCTATATTTAAGAGTCTCTTATGTTTTGTTCCCCTCCCTGTTTTTATATTATTTTTGCTTCCCTTCCCTTATGTTCATCTGTTTTGTATCTTAAAGTCCTCATATGAGTGATGTCATGTGATATTTGTCTTTCTCTGACTGACTAATTTCGCTTAGCACAATACCCTCTAGTTCCATCCATGTAGTTGCAAATGGCAAGATTTCATTCCTTTTGATTGCTGAGTAATACTCCATTGTGTGTGTGTGTGTGTGTGTGTGTGTGTGTGTGCGCGCGCGCGCGCATGCATGGGTGCGTGTGTATCTTTAGGATTTTTTATGTATAAGATCAGGCCATCTGTAAAAAAATAATTTTACTTCTTCCTTTTCAATTTGGATGTCTTTTTTCCCTTGCCTAATTGCTCTGGCTAGAGCTTCCAAAACTATGTTGAGTACAGGTGGTAAATGCAGGCATCTTTTCTTCTTCCTGATCTTAGAGGAAAAGCTTTCAGTTTTTCACCATTGAGTTAGATGATGTTAGTTGTAGGTTTTTCATATGTAACCTTTACTATGTTGAGGTGGTTTCCTTCTATCCTAGTTTGTCAAATGTTTTTAACATGAAAGAGCATTGGATTTTGCCATATACTTTTTGTGTCCATTGAATTGATCATGCAGTTTTCCCTTCGTTCAGTTTATGGGGTGTATTTCATTGATTGATTTTTGCATGTTGAGATTGTTTTCTTCTTGTTGTGTTCAGAGCACTGTTTATGGATTTTGTATGCAAGACTTTTGTCATTTATGTGACTTGCAAATATGTTTTCTCAGTTTATGGATTGTCTTTTCATCCTGTAAAGATATTTCACAGAGCCCAAGTTTTTAATTTCAGTGAAATTCAGTTTTTCAATTATTTTCTTTTATGGATTATGCTTTTCAGTATTATATCTGAGAAATTTTCACCTAACACTGGCATACAAAGATTTTCCACTTTTTTATAAAAGTGTTATGGTTTTTATAATTTACATTTAGGTCTATGATCCAATTGGAGTTAATTTTTGTAGAAGATGTGAGGTTTAGGTTGAGGTTTTTGTGCTTAAGAATGTCCAATTATTCCAGTACCGTTTATTGAGAAGACTACTTTCTCAATAATTGAGAATCGTTTTTGAATGTTTGTCAAAAATCATTTGGCCAAACTTGTGTAGGTGTATTTACATGATCTTTTATGCTCCATTGATCTATAGCTCTGTCCCTTTTCCTCCAAAACCATACTATCTTGATAACTGTAGCTATATTGTAATTCTTAAAATCAGATAATGGGATTCCTATAACATCATTCTTTTTCAAAATCATTTTGGTTATTTTAGTTCTCTTGCCTTACTATATAAATTTTAGAATCAGTTTGTCTACAGTTCACTCCTTTTTGTTGTTGTTTACCCATTTTATTGACGGACACCTGGATTGTTTCTAGTTTGAGGCTACTATTGAAACTGTGAACAGAGGCTAAATGGTGTAGAGGGTAAGATTTGACTGTTAGAGGTCAAGAAACATTTTACTTTTCTTTTTATGCCTTTTTTATGTAGTATGATTTTTTTATAATTAGCAAATATTTCTTTAATTGGCTGTTTTGAGTGGGTCTGTAGTTGGATTCCCTATTCTGTTCCATTGATCTCTATGTTTTTTTTTATTTTTTTTTTAAGTTTTTTTTTATTTATTTCTAGAGAGAGAGAGAGAGAGCGTGAGCAGGGGAGGGTCAGAGAGAGAGGGACTCACAGACTGAAACAGGCTCCAGGCTCTGAGCTGGCAGTCAGCACAGAGCCCGACGCGGGGCTCGAACCCACGAACCGTGAGATCATGACCTAAGCGAAAGTCGGACGCTTAACCGACTAAGCCACCCAGGCGCCCCATTTTGATCTCTATGTTTATCCCTTCAATATCATACTGTCTTAAGTACTGTAGCTGTGTAATAGTTTTTAAAATCAAATAGTATAGGGGCGCCTGGGTGGCTCACTTGGTTAAGCGTCTGACTCTTGATTTCAGCTCAGGTCACAAACTCAGGGTTCTTGAGTTGGAGCCTCACTTCGGGCTCTGTTCTGACAGAATGGAGCCTATGTGGGATTCTCTCTCTCTCTCTCTCTCTCTCTCTCTCTCTCTTCCTCTCCCTCCCGCCCCCTTTCTTCCTCTCCCTCTCTCTCTCTCTCTCCCCCTCCCTGCTTGCACACACTGTCTCAAAATAAATAAATAAACATTAAAACAATAAATAAAATAGTGTAAGTTTTAAGCATTACTCTTCTGCTTTTTAATGATTTTATTTTTAAGTAGTCTCTATACCTAATGCAAGCTGGAACTCATAACCCTGAGATCAAGAGTTGGGTGCTCCACTGACAAATGAGCCAGCCCTGCCTCTAGTATTCTTTTTCAGAATTATTTTACAATCAGCTCATCTGCATCTCCAAAAAAAAATTCTTGACAGAATTTCTATTGGAATAGTGTTGAATCTATAGAACATTTTGGAAAGAACTGGTATCCTGATTCTACTGAGTCTCCCAACCACATTCACAGGATGTCTCTCTGTTTACATCCATCTTCTTTCTTTCATTGGCTTTTTGTACGTTTCAGCATTCACATCTTGCACATATTTTATTAGACTTATGTCTAAGTATTTCTGTCCTTTTTAAGCCACTGTAAATGCTATTTTAATAATTTTCCGTTTCCAGTTGTTTACTGCTAGTACATAGAAATACAGTAGATTTTCAGGTGTTGACATTATGTCTACAACCTTGCTAAAGTCATTATTTATTTCTAGAAGCTTTTTTGTAGGTTCCGTGGGATGGTCTTCTGCACAGTTTTTTATGTGGGTCTCCAATGATATAATCCAGGCACATTAATATAGAGATAAAGCAAATATGGTAAATGACAACAGCTGTGGAATCTGAGTGTGGTGAGTATGTGGAAATTTATTGCAGTATTCTTTCAACTTCTCTGTATGTTTGAAAGTTTTTCATAATAAGTGGGGGGGGGGGGGGCGAGTGAGTGTCCCACCTACCTGACTCCCTTGTTATGTTCCTCTTCTGGAAGGCATGCACTGTTACTAATGTCCTGCTTCTCCTTTTTTATGGGTTTTAAAGGTTGTGTATACATGTATGCACTCATAGGCACACACATCGGTCCATCGGGTTATTTTCGGCACTGCATTTATAGAATTTAGCTTCTGGAAGCTTTGGAAGCGTAGCTGCTGAGGAAAAGCCATCCAGGTGAATTCTACCAGTCCCTTTTCCAGGTGTTGGTAGCTATTTTATTCCCGCGGTTCAGCCCTAGAGGGCGCCTGCTCCACTTGACTGGCGGCAGCAAGCAGCAGAAGGCGCGGAAGCCACTGTGTCAAGGTAGCCACGTGACTCATGAAAAGTCGGGCCTCCAGAAGTATAAATACGTCTGTTCTCTGGCCTTAGCCACATTTTCTGTGGGTTGCAAAACTTAGACTAAGAGCCCACATTTTGGCTTTGCAGCAGCAAAGGCTGAAAGAGTGAAAGGTTGGCCAGAAAGCTTCCCCCACATGCTGTACCGTGAACTTTTGAAGGATGGATATAACGCCCCATTTCCAGGCACTGCACAGCATCCCAAACATTTTGATGATTATTTGACTAGATTAAAAAATGGTTTTTGGCTAAAGGAAAGGCATTTTGTTTAACACGTTTATAACACTGGGGTTGGAAGATGTCTCTTAATTAATAACACCAGTCTTATTCTCTGTGTAGTTGTTATGTTTAGGTAGACACGATTTCACATTTTCTCTGGATCTGTGTAAAAAAGAGCTGTATTGTAATAGTGAGTGTATAATTTTGAAAATGCATTTAAGTCAACAACAATGGATAAATGACTGGCTTAAGTCAATCAGATAGAAATGTTTTATTAATGTTGATATGTACAACAACTTGAAGTAGACTAAAAACTTTTGCCATTAAGAATGTGTACATAAATATCTATTTTCAGAAATGAGACTCTGAAAAAATTTATATGTTGCTTAAAATACAGAATAAATATAGCAATACAGCATAGTTGTTAAGAAAACCAGCTTTGCCACTTCAAAGAATTTGTGCTACAAACATAGTCATAAAAGAAATGGGTTAAATGACTTATGTATAAGATGATTTGTGGCAACTATAATAATATTTATAATGACTATTTACAATAGCAAAAAGTGGAAATAAATATTCAGGTTTTAGATGAAAAAAATACATGGTACAGACATGAAATGGAATATTATGAAAATACAAAAGGAAAAAAGAAGACTTTTGTATATGAGAGGCATATCCATCTTTACACTTGGCTAAAATTTCCTCAGAGTGGTGTTGAAGGGAAATTTGAGAAATCAGGTGATGTTTCAACCACAATTTTCTTTTTTTTTTAAACTTTCCGTTTTGAAATAATTATATATCCCTAGAAAGTTGCAAAGATAGTACAGAGAGGTCCTTGTGCCCTTCATCTAGTTTCCCCCAATGGTTATGGCTCAGGGACTATAGTACAATATTAAAACCAGGAAATCAATATTGGTACAATGAGCATGTCTGTTATGTTATCACGTAGGTAGCATTGGCTAACCACCAGAACTGTTCTGTCACCACGGCAATCTCCCTGATGCTACCTTGGTAGTACCTACCCTTCCCTACCCCTGGTAACTACTAATTAGGTCTCCATTTCTAAAATGTTGTCATTTTGAGAGCTTTATATAAATAGAATCATACAGCAGGATATTGTTTGTTTTTTTCCACTTCGTACAATGCCCTTGAGATCCATCCAAGTTGTTGCCTGTATCAGTAGTTTGTTCTTTTTAGAGTTAAATATTATTCCATGTAGTATGGGTATACCACAGTTTTGTCAAGTCATTCACCTACTGGAGGACATTTTGGCTGTTTCCAGTTGGGGTTATTACAAATAAAGCTACTGTGAACAATCTTGTACAGGTTTTTGTGTGAATATAAGTTTTCACTCTCCTGGGATAAATGCCCAGGACTGCAACTGCTGGGTTGTAGGATAAGTGTATGCTTAGTTTTCTGGAAACTGCCAAATTATTTTCCAGAGTGCTGTACCATTTCACATTCCCAAACACAGTTTTCTTTTTATACAAAATGTTATTGACTACTGTTAGCACATGGCACTAGGCCAAAAGCACATGAGAATCAAAAACACTTTTAATTTCTAGAGAAAATAAATGTTATATATATTAAGGGAAGAGGAGAAAGAGGTCAAAAGTAATCTCTTTGCTGGCCCATAAAATCCTATGTTTATTGTGCCAGTTTTTCATAATGATTCTTTCCTTACCATCAAGTTAACCTCTTGTTGGAAAGCTGCAACACTCTGCACAGGCCACCTGGGTTTCCCCGGACCTCTGACCCCTGCTTGTATTCTGCCCCAAGGCTCCCCGTGAAGCTTCGGCTTATTCTAGAATGTTCTACCCCCAATAATGGTCATGTAGAGATCTTAGAGAGTCATTTCAGAGCCATACCCTCCCAGGGACCTCTGTACCTATACACTCTGTCCCCAGTTCCCCAGCACTAAACATCATTAAAACTCTTTTGAATAGTCTATCCACCCTCACCCCACCCTCTAGGCTTTAGTTGTTAGAGTACCCGGGTGAGGTCACATTCCTGTGTTAGGAGTGCAGGCTCCAGGGTCATGCTGCCCTTCTTGGTGTCCTGGGACAAGTAACAACTCCTGAGCCTGAATTTCCTCACCTTTACATTTGAGGTGATAAAAACGGCACCAGCTAACAGGGCCACTGGGTTATTCTGCAGACAGTCGGAGTGTCTGCTCTGGGCTGGCTGAGGGTACAGTAGTGAACAAAGAGGAAGCCCTGACCTCAGGGAGCATAACTAAAAGAGAAAACATAAGTACAGTGTTCAGGTATCAGTTAGGAAAGACGTTGGATTTGAGGCTGGCATTGAGGAGAATAACTACCATGTCTTCTAGTGCTTGATGAAACCTCAGAGGTGAGGCCTTCTGGCCAAGTGTCTGCGATTTCATATTGTTAGAACACTCACTGTATCCCTGGGTTGCAGTTTTGTATATGTTTGCTATGGCCCAACCAAGAAAGAAGGCATATGCAGATTTCTAAGGAAATTATGATTCTGTGAAAGATTTTGAAGAGATGAAGGCTGGTATCTTTCAGAGTGCAAAGTGATTTTGGAATGTAAAGAATTTCTTTGGGTTGAGTTCCATAGAAGTTTGTTACTGACCTGTGTTCCCAAACTATGAAACGTGAATATTGGGTTATGGAATAGTTTCTCTTAGTAAATAAACAACTAAGAAATACTATGGACAGTTTTTAAAAAAAAAAAAAAGTACAGTGTTCAGCCTGGCCTTTGGCCTTTAGTTGGCCTCTGAGAAATGTTAGTTGTTTTATTATTATAGCCAAACTTAATACTTATTTATGGACTTGAATGGAATATAAACTCAGCATTACACATTTGCTCTAGTATATTTTTATTCATTGTAGTCAGACGTTAGTCACCATTAACTGTAGGAGCTGTGCTGGTCTCATGCCATTGCTAAAGTCATATCAATTGCTGACCAAGGGCACTCCATTTTGTGCTTAAAACTTAGGATTATTCTGAATTTAGTACCTGGAATATCAGATTCAATAAGGGTCTCTTGCTGTGACCACACAACTTTGAAGGAAGAGTCTTACTTTTTTTTAATTCAAGTTAGTTAATATGGAGGAAGTGTCTATACAAACTTGTGAAAAAGTCCCTTACAGTGTGTTGGAAGGTTCACATACTATTAAAAGATTCCAACAACAATAAAGAATACTTTTATTGTTTATAAAAGGTGACACATTTCATAAATAGTTAATCAGAAATACAAACTTTATGGGGTGCCTAGCTGGCTCAGCCGGCAGAGCTTGCGACTCAATTGGCACCGTGAGTTCAACCCCACACTGGATGTAGAGCTCACGCACGCACACACAATTAGCAGAGGAGGGGCACCTGGGTGGCTCAATCAATTAAGCATCTGACTTCAGCTCAGGTCATGATCTCACAGTTCATGGGTTCGAGCCCCACATCGGGCTCTATGCTGACAGCTAGCTCAGAGCCTGGAGCCTGCTTCAGATTGTTTGTCTCCCTCTCTCTCTCTGACCCTTCCCTGCGCTCACGCTACCTCTCTCTCAGAAATAAATAAAACATTAAAAAAAATTCTTTTTAGGGGTGCCTGGGTGGCTTAGTCGGTTAAGCGTCCGACTTTCGCTTAGGTCATGATCTCGCGGTTCGTGGGTTCGAGCCCCGCGTGGGCTCTGTGCTGACTGCCAGCTCAGAGCCTGGAGCCTGTTTCAGTCTGTGACTCCTTCTCTCTCTGACCCTTTCCTGCTCAAGCTGTCTCTCTCTCTCTCTCCTAGAAATAAATAAAACATTAAAAAAAATTTTTTTTTTAAATTCTTTTTAAATTAGCAGAGGAAAAAAAAAACCCTTAAAGGAAATTTCATTTTTAAATCTGTAAAAATGCCAAAAAGGTGGCCCAAAAAGCCCTCCAAAAACATGGCAGCCAATTGAATAAAAAATACTCCAAAGAGCCTTAAATTTTAGGTAAACTGTGCATAATGCAAATTGGTCAATGAGTGAACTGGTCACCAGGTATATTTATCATTAAGACACATGGCTCTGCTCATTCTGTTCCTAGGGCAGAACCAACATGGTGCACATAGGCAGGCTGGACATTATGACAGTGCTGGATGAGGGTGTCCTGTTGGCTGAGCTTAGGTTATATCCCTGCTTCCAGGAAGTGGGAAGAGTGATTTGGGGCCTCTCTGACTTCCATAGGGAAAGTTGAAGCCCTGTTCCCCGCTATGAACTACACACCCACAGAGGTCTCCAAATACAGTTGACCCTTGAACTACATGGGTATGAACTGCGTGCACAGGTTTAGTTTCACTTATATGTGGATTTTTTATATAAATATGGTACAATGCTGTAAATGTAATTTCTCTTATGATTTTCTTAACATTTTCTGTAGCTTATTTTATTGTAAGAATACAGTTATATATACATAGATATAGATATAAACATAATGTGTTGAGTTGCTTTATGTTACCAGTAAGGCTTCTGTCAACAGTAGGGTATTAGTAATTACATTTAGGGGGAGTCAAAAGTCTACTCAGTGGGACTCAGCACCCCTAACCCCTGCATTGTTCAAGCGTCACACGTAGTAACCAACAGATGTTCGTTACAGTGAATGAATAATCAAGTAACACGAATTGCAGCCACAGTTCAATGACCATCCAGTAATGTGACTTTGTAAAAGTTCTGCAACCTCTCCTCAGCTTGCGTTTACTCATGCATAAAGTGCTAGAGTGGACTTAAGATGATCACTACCGTCCTATAAGCTCTAAGATTTCCTGAGATTTCCTGCTGTTAGAGCTCCTCCCATGTTTTGACCTTTCCAATAGACTTGAGGCTAGGATGGAGATAAGGAGTGCCATTTTTTGTTAGAGGCTTAAGACAGCCAAGACTTTGCTATAGCAAAGGTTAATGTTCTGTCTCAAAGATCCATTTCCCCAGGCTCTCCAAATGTAAATGTTAAGGCGATGAAAACAGTGAAATCTAGGCTCTGGTTCCTGTAGAGTCAGAGGCACTCACCCCACACGGTGCAACCCTGGAGCGGAGTGCCGGCTCTGTGGCCTGAAGCTTCATGAACTCAGGTTTAGGCTGTCAGCCTTGATTTAAAGAGATGTGGTGGTTCAATTTGCTTCTGGGAAAGAACTGACATTTCACAGCAGGGCTTGGGGGGCTAACAGTGAAACCTGAGCTGGCGTCTTCCCCCTCTGGAGGGGCAGGCAGAGTGAGTCACCTGTTTGCACAGAAGGCTGTGGTAATCAAATCCACAAATTCACAGGCCTTATGCCTTCACCACTTTAAACCAGAAAAGGTGTCGCAACATAACAGTTTTAATTGCTAAACCATAGCTGCAAACCCAAATCTCTGGATTTAATCAGAGCGGGGTGTGAAAGGCTGTGTGAATGGGGCTGTTTTTCTGCCAGGTGTGTTATTTGTTCCTCCTCTTCTGCCTTTGCTTTCTTGTTTGTGCTCAAGCCCAGACCAAAGGCCTCTGGACATTTGCCATCATCATGCTCTCCAACAGATGACGGGCCTATAGTGGCAGTGACAGGTTTGCCTTCTTTTCTATTCCTTGCTGGAATCTGTGGACCCTGTATCCACCCCAACTTCCTGGGACAAGCAACTCTGAATCCTTCTTGCCATAGCAGGTATGAATCTCAGTCTACAACTCAGGTGGACAAGAAATAAGGCTTTCTTTTCTAGAACTCCACTCCGTGCAGGCCGTTGCGCTTCTTAGCTGGTGTAAAAACCTCTATCTCCAGTCTTTCCTGGGCATATATTCCCCACTTCTCAGCAATACAACCATACTGAGTGTGACAGTGTGCTGAGGGTTTAAGGAAGGCCACGATGAGGGAGAGGGAGCACTCTGGCTCTGAGCCATCGGTCACATGGTTGGTTGAGGGATCTATTGGCCCTGCCCACCTGGTCCCCGTGGCTCCAGGGTCCTCGACTCCCTTTTTGACATTATCAGTCCCCAGGAGTTGTTCCGAGGTTGTCCCAGTGGCTGGATGCACCACCTTTCACAGGCTTTCAGGTTCCAGTCAGTATTCCTAGAATCTGTTCCTTTCTTGAATAGGAGGAAGAGAGAAAGGAAAATACAGGAAGAACCAACAGTGTGGTTTAACACCCTCCTGCATAATCCAGGCTGGCAGCCAGCTCTCCCTTTGTTCCAGCTCTGTGTTTGTACATGGGGTTGTACAAAATACAGACATTTAGTATTTCAAAAGGAATAGTAAAATGATAAAAAGTTAATATTCTGTAACTTCAACTGAGTAAGTTCTGAACTCAGCCTATCTGATTTAATCAGGACACTTGCCTTTTGAACTAAGTACTATTATTTTTCCCATTTTACAGATCAGAAAACTGAGGCTCAGTGAGATAAGAAACTTGTTCAATATCACAAAGCAAGTTGTAGGAGAGCTGGGATTTGAATTTCAGTCTTTTGACACTAGAATCCAAATCTATATTTATAAGCAGTGCATATTAGATGTTTTTTTAAAAAATGTTTATTTTTGAGAGAGAGAGTGCAAACAGGAGAGGGGCAGAGAGAGAAGGAAACAGAGGATCCATAGCTGGCTCCGTGCTGACAGCAGACCGCCCTATGCGGGGCTCAAACTCACAAAGCATGAGATCATGGCCTGAACCAAACGAAGTCAGATGCTTAACCAACTGAGCCAGCCAGGTGCCCCATCTTAGATGCTTTAAAAGAAAATGTCAGACCTGTGAGCCTAGTGTGTCATTTGAATACTCTGTTTTCATGGAGTTTGTACCATAGTCCAGCCCTTCTCTCAGTGGGACTATTAAACAGCACCTGGCAGTTATTCTAGCTCAATAAATACTTGCTTGAATTTTACATCTCATAAGCAATTTTGCATATTCAAATACTTTTGTGTCTCGTTCAGATGTGGCAGAAAAATCAAGAGGTCACTGGTAGCATTGTCTTATCTAAAAAAAATAAGGAAAACCCTTCTGGGGTGCCTGGCTGGCTCGGTTGGTATAGAGCATGTGACTCTTGATCTTGGGGTTGTGAGTTCAATCCCTATGTTAGGGGTAGAGTTTACTAATAAACAACAAACAAACAAAAAAGAGAAAAAAAACCCTTCTAAGTCTGCTTAAAGTTTTGTTTGCCTACTGAGACTTCTTCAACCCTTTCTTTGTTTTGACCCCCCCAAGCTCCCATCCAAACTCACTGAGGAGAGGATGCCCTGTAAGGTTTCTGCATGTCTGACCTGGCTTTTAAATCCTAGCTTAGACATTTGCTGTTTGTGTGGCCTGACCTGACCTGGTTGCCTACCTCTCTGAGTCTCCATACAATGTCCGTAAAATGAGAACAGCAATACAGGCTACCTATGGGATATTTTAAGTGTATGAAATAGTAGACACTCAATGTCTAGTTCTTATTTCTGTTAATTATATCAACCACATCAGAGTATTCTATCAATTTAAGCTTATACTTAAGGTCCTTCTGAAAACTCTTAAAGGATGTCATTCCTTTATTTATTTATTTATTTATTTATTTATTATTTGTTTTAGAGAGAGAGTGAACAGGGGAGGGAGGCAGAGGCAGAGAGAGAGAGAATCCTAAAGCAGGTTCTATACTTTAGCGTGGAGCCCAACATGGGGCTCAATCCTATGATCCTGGGATCATGACCTGAGCCAAAACCAAGAGTGGGATGCTCAACCTATCATTTTTTTTTAATGTTTATTTTTGAGACAGAGAGACAGAGCTCGAGTGCAGCAGGGGCAGGGAGTGAAGGAGACAGAATCTGAAGCAGGCTCCAGCCTCTGAGCTGACAGCACGGAGCCCAATGCAGGGCTCGAACCCATGAACTGTGAGACCATGACCTGAGCCGAAGTCAGATGTTTAACTGACTGAGCCACCCAGAATCCCACGATTTGTCTTTCTTAATCTAGGTCACAATTTTACTGGCTTTAATCATCTGCATATACCTTTACAATTTTTGTGTTATGTATTTAATATCTGTGTTCTTACTAGTATGGTTCCTTAAATTGATTAGTTTTTAACTCCATTCTAGATCTAAGGAATAGTGTCTGTGACATCAATGGCTTGATGTGTTACGTGTTTTCATATATCTTAGAAAAAATTCTCAATTAAGATACCAAATAGTTGTCTATGTGCCACCTAAAGTTATTTCATGAGGCACACTTAAGAAACACTAATCTTGCCATATTTATATCTATATTTTAGGATAAAAAGCCAATGATAACACACAAAACTACGATGATACATACCTATTGTATGCTTCTACTTCTATTAGCATTTAGGAAAGGCAAAACTCTAGGGACAGAAAGCAGATGAGTGGTTGCCTGGGGCCAGGGACCGAAGTGGGGACTGACCTTGAACAGGAACCAGGAAGTTTTCCGACTGCTGGAAGAATTCTAAGGCGGTGGTGAGGGTTGCACCACTGTATGAACTTAGACACACTCATCAATCTGTGTGTTTCAAATTAATACATCCTCTGGTTTATAAATTATATCTCCAAGAAAAAAGAGAAAAAGAAAAGAAATGATCAACCAGGGGGGCGCCTGAGGAGGTTTCTGGAGTCCAGGTGATGTTTTGTTTCTTGATCTGGGTGTTAGTTATAAGAGTATGTTCACTTTGTGAAAATTCATCAAGCCACTCATTTATGCTTTGTGTATATTCCTGTATGAACATTATACCCCAGTAACAAGATTTACTAAAACAGAGAGAGAGAGAGAGAGAGAGAAGAAAAAATCAGCCAAGATATGTGGCGGGGGAGGGGGGGACGACCATAACTTCCCAATAAAAAGTTGTTACTTTCCTCTTTGTTGTTTTGTGTAATGACGTCATCCTGCCAACTTAGTTTTATGATGTGAAAGGTTTATGTTTTATGTATCTTAGTTCAGAAAGGGTTATGAAAAGATATATTTAGCTAATCGCACCAGTGCTATAAGACTGTCAGTGGAAGCCATTGTTTCTTAATTATTCATAGCAATTATCAGTGTGGACAATATTCAACTTGCAACCAAAACAAATGGATGTTTGAAGAGGCCTTGGTGGAACAATCAAATCATCAGTCTCAAAATGTCCCCTCTCTCTGCCCCGTCCTGCTGCCTGCTGGTGTTTCAATTCTATATTTATCTTTTCAAATCAGCGGTGTAGCAATTAGTTATTATAATAGGAGCTACCAGTTTATTGTGTGCCAACTTCATGCCAGACACTGCATTATCAGAGTTTTTCATACTTTAATTGCCTCATTTCACTGTCACAACAACCCTGCCAAGGAGTTGTTTTACACCATTTTGCAGTTGAGCAAACTGAGGCTGGGGGCTCCTGAGTGGGTCCAAGCCCACATTTCTGGTTGAGTGACAAAGCCAGAGGGCAAGCAGGGCTCCCACCTGTGTGCTTTGCTATGTCTTGGGACCTGACATCAGTGACAGGAAATAAGTGACATGTGTAACAGAATTCTGAAGCCCGAATCATGGCTCTTCATGCAGTTACTATAGTTACTTCTCTACATGATGCTCTCATTTTTGCTGGGATAACAATGGATCCACTGTTAGCCATTGAGGTATTTGAACCCCTACCTTCATCATGAAACCCGAGGGACATTTTAATAGGTTTAAAATAGCATTCCTGCCTTTTAATCACACCCTTTTATTTCAGAAGCTCCTGGAATGTTAACAGATCTCGTACTATGGCAGCTTTAGCAATATTATTTTTTCCACCTTGTGTGAACATAGGAGCTCTCTAAAGGTAATACAACCATATTTCAGACAGAGACCTGAAAAACTCCGTGACAAAAGTGATGCATTTGGATGGGTGGGAGGTGCATGGATGCCCCCTCACTAGGTTGAGGGAAGGGGTTGGCATCTGGGCAGGAAGATGTATGGAAAGAGGGGCCTTGGGGAAGGAGAAGCCATAGGGCCCTGGAGGAGACAGCAGAAGAGGCAGGAGCTCTGTCTTACAAGTGGATATGGCTCTTGCTAAGCTAACAAACACATGCAGAGGAAGTGGTTTGGATTAGGAATGAGGTGGGGGTGGGTGGGCTAAATGGGTGATGAGCATTAAGTTGGGTACTTGTTGGGATGAGGACCACGTGTTATATGTAAGTGATGAATCAGTAAATTCTACTGCTGAAACCATTATTCCACTATATCTTAACTAACTTGGACTTATTTTATTTTATTTATTTTTTAATGTTTGTTTATTTTTGAGAGAGACAGAGCATGAGCGGGGGAGGAGCAGAGAGAGAAGAAGACACAGAATCTGAAGCAGGCTCCAGGCTCTGAGCTGTCAGCACAGAGCCCAACTGGGGGCTCAAACCCACAAACCATGAGATCATGACCTGAGCCAGACATTGGACGCTTAACCAACTGAGCCACCCAGGCACCCCTTAACTAACTTGGATTTAAATTAAAATTAAATAAGATAAAATAATCATAATAAAAAAAAGAGAATGAGGTGGAAAGACAACCAAGGCCTGAAATGTGTTACTGACAGGCGTTCTGAGCACTGAGCTGTCAGGGAGGATGAAGACTCAGAATCTGGGCTTGTCTTGCCTGCTGCATGCCAGCTCCCCAGGCTATGGTCAGACAGCTTTATTCCCTCTGGACTCTTAAGGCTCATGAAATTCTCAGATGTGGCACACTGAGACACTCGTGGGACTAAAGACAAAAGCCAGAGCTTCTGATTCCTGGTCTAATGTCAGATCCATTCTCTCTAATTACAGAGTCATAATGGTGAAGAGGATGGGGACATCCAAGGACCACAGGGCCTCTCTCTCAACACTGGTGAGAACCAGTTTCCTCCCCCTGGTTCTGTAGCTCCTGGCAGAGTTCTGGAAGCTGATTAAAGAGAAGATCAGAAATAATAGGTAATTAGAAACCTTATAAAAAGGAAAAAATGCTCTCATCAAACTTACCAAAGCGTCTCCATGGCTGGAAGTCAGGGAGGCATTGTAAAGTACTGGCTGCAAGGGTCACTTGTGCCAAAGGGGTGGCCTAGAGGCTGTGGCAAGTGTTCAGAGGGACTAGGGCTCCTCCCCAGGGGTTAAGTGGGGAGACGGTTCAGAAATGTATTTCTCAACTGGGCCAGCCAGTGAGTAAAAGACTAAGAGAGCAGCCTCAAGAGAACCTCAGCCCAGTGAAACCAGTGGTACAAGAACCAAAAAGCACTGAGGGCGAGAAAGGCAGACACACACACACACACACACACACACACACACACACACACACACACAGAAGAGACTGGATTCCGCCAACAAGACAGGCAGATGGAGTGGATTTCTCCATTGGCCAGTTCCTTGGCCGTTTGGAATACTGTAGGAGGGGTAGTTGGAAGGAGCTCAGCAATGTTCTGGGTCCACATGATATATGCAATTAGTGCTGTAGGTTCCCTTACCTCCTGGGGTCTTTAGGGACCGTCCCCAGCTTGGGAGGGGTATGGGAGGTATATGGAATGCAACAGGTGGGCTGAGTGTAGGTTTGGTCCCCAGGTGGTCTAGTTGGACTTCAATAGCTCTCTGAGCAGTAGAGCAGCAACCCTCAACCTTTGGGGGTACCTCCCTACCCAGGGGATCCTCACAGCTTCTTTCCAATTTAAGGCTGTGGTATACACTCCCCCCAGCCCCTTTCCTGTACCTTACCGGCCCTCCCATTTGAATGTTCAAGAGACCGTTTTGGAAAAACCCCTACAGGCACACAGTTTCTTTTTGCATTTCTGGTCCCCCAGTCCTAAGGCTCTCTGAAGCCAGGGATGGGTGAATAGGGCCCGTAAGTGACAGAGACAATAGGGGAGGGTGGGAAGAGGAGCTCCCCACTGTAGGTAATCATCCCAGAGATTCATCCTGCGTTTTGGGCTCAGTTTCATTTGCTGGTTCCTTTTTTCCTCCCGTCTTCTTTACCTTTATCTCCCCTGTGCCCTTTCATTTCTCCACTCGGTAAACCTTACTGGCCATTTCCTGTGGCAGGGCTGTCCCAGGTGAAAACTCACTTTGGATGAAGACTGAGACACAGTCTTCTCTGTCAAGGAGGTCACACTCTAAGTCAGTTTCAAAACAGAGTGAGCTTTATGCTTAGCGGGGGCAAACGGGGTGGTTTGGGAGCCCAAGTTGTTCGGGGGGAGCGGACCTGAGAGGGTGAGGGTAGAGATCAGGGAGATCTCCCAGAGGAGGGTGGAGCTGGTGCGGGCTCCTGCTGGGGTTGCCACGTGAAATATAGGGCACTTGTATTTAATGCAATAGTTGCGACTTTTCCTAAAACAATTATTTGTTGTTTATCTGAGATCCAGATTTAACTGGGCATCCTGTATTTTCATTTGCTGAATCTGGCAACCCTAGTTTCCTTGTGAATATATAGGAGTTAGCTGAATAAATAGAGGGACAGGAGAGAAGAGCATTCCGCGGAGGGAAAGGCATGAGCAGAGACTCGGAGGTGAGGGATCCCATGCTTCACTGAAGGGACTGAACGTTGTCCAGTGGCTGGAGTGCGAGGGGGGAGGGAAGGTGTGGAGAGAATGCACCAAACCAGCACACAGTTGAGTATGTACTAAGTACCAGGCACACTTTGTACTCACACAGGGTGCTCTTCTGAGCCACATGGACACAGCTTCTGCTCTCAGGGAGCTCACGGTTCAGCTGAGAGGCAGTGAGGTGGGGAGAGAGGACAGGCTGTAACTGTGGGAGTTAGAGCTGGGAACATCAACTTGGCTGGGAGGTCAGAAACGGCCTCTCTTAGGAGATGACAATATGCTGAAGGGTGAGGAGACAGGCATGCTGATAGCTGGGGGAAGAATGTTCTGGACCAAGGGAATAGCATAATGGAGGGCCTAAAGTAAAAAAAAAAAAAAAAAAAAAAGCACAGCGGGGTCCTGGATACTCAAATGTGACCGGAGGGGCTGGGGTGATGAAGAGGAGCAGACGAAGAGACTGGATGAATGAGCAGGGGCCCGATCACACTGGAGGGAATTTGGACTGGATCCTGAAAGCAGTGGGAGCCACTGAAGGAGTTTAAAGCAGGCAGGGTGACATAACCAGCTTTGTGTTCTTAAAGGTGACTCATGCTGGAGAGAAGAGGACTGATGGGTAGTGTGGGGGCAGAGATGAGGGTGATGAGGGAGGGGCTCCTGCAGATGTCCAGGGCAGACAAGTCAGTGGCTGGGCCCAGCGTGATGGTGGCGGCGACGGAGAGAGAGAGAAGGAGAGATGGACGCAGGCTGCACCGAGGAGGAAGACTTGGCAGGCCTGGGCTATCCGGCACTGGGAAGCGAGTGGGTGGGAGGAGCAGGCGTGACTCAAAGCTTCTGGTTTGGACAGATGGGAGGACGGTGGCACCACTTGCTGTGCAGATCTGGGGACTTGAGAGGTTTGGGGGTGGCAAATTGACAGGGTTGGGGTTTGCACAAGGAGAAGGTGAAGAAACCAGCGGTGGGCCATCAGAGAAGGGTGTGCAGGAGGAGAGAACCAACGGGCAGCCCAGCAGAGCTGCGTTCAGATCTCTTTTCTCGCCTTGGCTGTGTGGCCCCGATCGATGACCTTACCTCTCCTCACCTTAGTTTTCTCGTCTGTACCGCGGGATGAGGTGGGTAATCTGTCCTCAGAGTTGTGAGGGTGTGGTGAGCAGCCTCGGGGGAAAAACCCAATGATCCCCACCTCCCGGTACTCACATCCTTGTGTGGTAGCCTCCCACACTGTCATAGGGTTGGTCTGGGAGACCAAGGGACTACGTGTATATCATTTTCAAGGCTACATTATAAAAGACATTGTGGCTTCTGTCTCTTCTCTCTTAGATCACTCGTGCTGGGAGATACCCCAAGCCGCCATGTTGTCAGGAGAGGCTCCCGGTGAGGAGGAACTCCTACTTCCTGCTAAAAACCACCTGAGTGATTTTGGAAGTGGATTCGCAGGCCCCAGCCAAGCCTTCAGCTGACTGCAGCTCCAGCTGACATCTGGATTGTAAGATGGGCTATCTACCTAATCTGCTTCCAAATTCTTGACCCGTAGACACTCTGAGATAAGAAATGTTTACGGTTTGGGGCACCTGGGTGGCTCAGTCGGTTGAGTGGTTGAGCGTCCAACTCTTGATTTGGGCTCACAGTTTGTGGGTTTGAGATCCGTGTCGGGCTCCATGTTGATGGTGCAGAGCCCGCTTGGGATTCTCTCTCTCTCTGTCTCTGTTCCTCTTCCCCTCTCCCCTCTCTCAAAATAAGGAAATAAAGAAATAAACATTAAAACGAAAAAGAAATGTTTAAGTTTGGGGATGATTTATTATGTGGCAACAGAGAATTGACACGGAGAGTAAAAACACTTAGCACGGTACCTGGCACAAAGCAGGGGCCATAGAACAGTGCAGCATCTGTGGGTCAGGTTCAGGAGAGAGGCCGGGGCTGGATGTATGGATGTGGGAATCTTTCGGCTTAGAGACAAGGCTTAGAGATACTAACGGAATCCACGGAGGTGGCTGCGTCAATCCACAGAGATGGGTGGACAGGAGAGGAGGGCCTAAGCAGGACACCTGGGCAGAAGGGGTGAGTAAAGCAAGAGGAGGAGCATCTCCATGAGAGGAGGAGGACCTGCAGAGAAAGGAGGGAAACTAGAACAGGAAGTGGGAAAAGGCTGTCTCCTGGAGGGGCTAGTCGACAGCATCACTGGGGAGGGAGGGGTGAAGCGGGGGTGGTGGTGGTGGTGGTGGTGGTGGTGGTGGTGGTGGTGGTGGAGATCTGAGGAGGTTCTTTTGGATTCAGCAACAAAAAGATTCCTAGTGGCCCCACAAGAGCTATTTAGGTGGAGAGAGTGAGGCCAGATTGAATATTGTGGGTTGGGGTGTCAGTATAAACACTTTCCACCCCCAAGCCCCAAACCAAGATGGTTTACAGGAGAATCCTATAGAAAATCCAAACTGCAGAAAATCCCAGTCTTATAGAAGCTGTATAGTGAATAGGCACCCCCTGCTTAATTTATTTTATGAACTCCTGTAACTGATAGCAAAACCAGACAAGGAGAGAAGAAAGGAGGAAATTAGTAGGAAATAAGGGAGGATGCAAATAAAAACCGTAAATAAAACCCTAAACAAAAACCTAAATAAAATATTAGCAAATGCAATCCAGCACTGTATTGAAAAAAATCATCACACATCATCAAAGGTATGTTTATTCTGGGAATGCATGGATGTTTTAGTATAATAAAATCCAGGACTGCATTGGGGGAAAAAGTCTCACCTTAGATAAAATTCAACAACCATTCATCATAAAGCAGGATAATGCTTCCTTACCCTCATAAAAGGTATCTATCAAAAATCTACAACAAACACAATTTTTATGGGTAATATATTAGAAACAGTCAAGAACAAGATAGAAATGCCCACTGTCATCTTTGTTATCCAACATTGTACTGAAGATTTTAGTGCTGTAATACAAGGACCAGGAAATAAAGACTGGACAGGGAGATACCAAATGTCATTGCTTGCAGACTCTATGATTATTCAACAGAAAATTCAAGAGAGGCTATAAACTTATTAGAACTAAAAAAGAGTTCAAGTTTGCTGAATACAAGATTATTATATAAAAACTAATCATATTTCAATAATCACCAATATATTATAAAATATAGATTTGAAAATATAATTTATAATAGCAATAAAAATTTTAAGAGATACATAGGAATAGTTCTGAGAAAACATCTGACACAATTAGTTCTTCTGTTTTTAGTTGAGGAAATAGAAACCCTAAGAAGGGAAATGACTCCTCTAACGATACCAGTAAGCCAGGGGCAGTTTCTGGATTTTCAGGGGCATCACATCCTAAAGATCTGAGTGGGTTAATTCTGGCATTGTCTTTCTTTTTGTAAAAAAATAAAATTCATTGTATTTTCTCAATATAAATTCAATATCTGTGCATTCTAGAAAATACGGAAAACTCAGAAGTACATTAAGAAGTAATAAACCACTGGGGCATCTGGGGGGTTCAGTCGGTTAAGCGCCCAGTGTTGGGCTCACATTGGGATCTCGTGGTTTGTGGATCCAGTCCAGCATTGAGCTCTATGCTGACAGCTCAGACCCTGAAGCCTGCTGCAGATTCTGTCTCCTTCTCTCTCCGCCCTCCCCCTCTCACGTTCTGTCTCTCTCTCAAAAATAAATATATATAAAAAAAGAATAAACCACTAGCATTCCCACCCTACCTGAGAGAACTGTGATCAATGATTTGATGTATTTTCTTCAAAATTTTTGTTTGTGTCTATTTGTGTTTTTAAACATAAAATTAGGATTATGCCACGAATACCATTTGTGCATGGTTTATTTTCATACACATTTCCTTGTACCCTCATCTAGTCCTTTTGAATATGATAATATAGCATGCAATCATATTGATGAAGCATATGCCATTTATTTAACCAATCGATTTGAGTTTTCAGAGAAAAAGAAAATCATGAGATATGACTTGTGATGATCATGCCGATAAAAGTTAAACCCTAGAGCCAACTCAGGCACATGCAGAAATGAAAGCAGGTGCATTTCTAAGGCCAGGGGTTATCCCGGTAGAGAAGGGGAAAGGACAAAACCAATTATCATTTACCCGGTCCTGCCTTGGCAGGGGACAGAGATCTGGTTAGCAGGAAAAGAATGGGATTTGGAAGGAGTCTATCAATTAGCCCTGAGCCTTTAGGCAATTCCCTACCCTGAGAAGCCTCGACTTCCATAGTGGTGAACTGAGGACAATATGGGCACTAGGCTCAAGTAGGGCCAGCCCCTTGGGGCCTCAGAGCCTTTGCACTGGTCATTTTCTCTGCTGAAGTCAGCTCTGTCCTTCTCCCCACCTGACTGCCCATGTCGACCCCTGGGGCCTGGCTGCCCTTGCCTACCTTGCCCACCAGGCCAGATGGGTGACATTACCTACCGGGTGGCTTCCCCCTCCCCACCCCACCTCCACGGAGGGCAAGGCTAGGAGGTGCTCTGGCCTCAGGTCCGGCGTCCAGCCACCACCGAGTCTGAGGCAGAGACCCCCTCCCCTTATTCTGCCATTCCTCTAATCCTATACCTTCCAACACTTAGAATCACAACTTGTCATTATTTTGTCTCCTGGCTGTCTCCTTGGGTCTTGTTTGTTTTCTCCTCTCATTCGGACCCTCTTCCATCTTTCTGGTCGCCGTACACGCCCGGGCCTCAAACTTGTTCGTGAAACAAGAGAAACAGCTGTGGGGATCCTAGGTCGGAGGACACAGGGAAAACCGCCGGGGGCTGGGCTGATCTCAAACTGCGGGCGGAGGCGAGACTGAGAGGCGGGTTCTGGGAGGGGCCCACGGTTTCGGAGGCGGAGCCTCGGGGGCGGGACTGAAGCTGCGGGGCGGGGCTTTCGGGACTGCGGCGGAGCCAGCCTGACCGCGCGGCCCAGGCTGAGTTCCTCCGGCCTCTCGGTCCTCTGACCTCCCGCCCGCGCCGCCGGTAGGGGGCGCTCGCGCTCGTGGCGCCGCGGCTCTGCTGGGAAGGCGCCGCCCGCGCCGGGCGGCAGGAGCCGCAACTCCGGGCGCGGGCTCAGTCGTCCGCTCTGCCACCGCCGCCGCCGCCGTCGCCGCCGCCGCCGCCGCTGGGCGCAGGCTCGCTCGTCCTCGCGCTTCTGCTCTCCGGCCGCCGGCGTCTCCCGGCCCGGCCGCCGCCGCCGCCGCGGCGCAGTGAGTGGGGGCGGGCCCAGAGCCTGGGGGCCTGGGGCTCGGGAGGGCCAGGCACTGGGAGAAGCCGGCGCGGAGCGGCCGGGGGAGCGGGGACGCCGGGGGAGCGGGGACGCGGAGAATCCGGGCGGTGGCGGGCCGCGCTGAGGGGACGGCGGGGAGCCGGGGCGGCGCGCTCCGGGGCTGGCACGAGCCCGCGGCGGGCTGCCCGTGGCCGAGCGGCAGGGCTGGGCGCAGATTCCTGGGCCCGCCCCGCGAGGACGTGCGGCTTCGGCGACCCGGGCTCGCGACCTCGGGGCTCGCCCCCCGCCAGGGCCCCGAGCATGTTGTGTCCCACGCCGGGTTGCAGTGGGGGGACTTTGCCTGCGGGGCAACCGCGAAGCACGGCCCGGACCGGGGAGGGGGGGGACACCTCGAGTTTTGCTTGAAAATGATTGGGTTTTTGGGGGGAGGGGGAGGTGGTGCTTATTGGCCACCGTTTGCCCTAATTTAAAGGCTGTGACAGGGCTTCTGAGCCCTACCTTACGGGATTTTCTGCCCCCAAAGACCCACTCTGCAGCTGAGTTCTTTATGCTCGTATTTGTGTGTCTTGGTATTTTTAATGCTTCGTGTCAGAGGTGATAAATGACCGCGGTAATGGGGAGCCCCTGAATCACCTGCTGGGCTGACGGTGGTGGAGATTGTGTCTGAGGTGGGACGGGAGAAACGAAACAGAGATCCTCTTTGGATATTCTGCTGAAGTTATCATGTTTCTGTTCAAGTATAGCTGTTCTAGAACAAGTTGATAAATCCAATTTTAGGACTTTGTGGTAGGAGAGGTTTGAGTGGCAAACAGACCCGGGATGACCTGGCCTGGCCAGGAATGTTGGGGTAGCCCGAGTATCTCCCCCCTTTCCCCTTAGCGCATTTATTTATTTATTTATTTATTTATTTATTTTTGCTGTCACAAATGCCCAAGTGCGATCGCAGAATAGGAAAGAAGCCAGGGGACAGCATTTAGCACAGGCCTGAGCCCGAGAGTGATGTTTTCAAGTGAGCATATGTGTAACTAGGAAAAGGAAAATCTTTGTATCGGCAAGGTTGGTAGTTTGAGACAACTTGCTCTTTGGTTAGGAGCTACCAGCCCATACACAGTTCATTTTACATAATGCCACTGATGCTAAGGATTGAGTGGGGAGGATTGTCATAGATGCCATTCCTAAGATTTGTGTGAGCGAACTGTTCACAAATCATATTTTGCCCATAACATTACTAAATGAAGGAATCCTGGGGTGAGCCCTTCTGTGGATCCCTCGGCGTGCCTTGACTTCTGATATTTAGAGTCTGTTTAAAACGGAATGCACATATTTATTTGGATTTGGCTTTACCTTGGAGATAATCCTGAGTCATGCTTTGGAGAAGTTCCTTGTGTGATCAA